CAACTCACAACATTCTGTGATTCTGTGAAATTTAATACCAGAGGTGAAAACCTTTCCTGTCTCTTTTTTGGGACACACAAGTCTTCCATCTGTGTTGGATCATGCATGTGACTGCAAAGCTTTGGTGAAGCTGGAGGACATCAGCCATCAGACTGACGGGGCAGGAGCTGCCTTCCACAGATGCCGTGGGGACTATTGAAGCACAGGAGCCAAGTGACAGCGGTGGAAGCATCCTGGGTTTCCAGCAGCCTGGCAAAACACACCCCAAAATGCACTGAACTAGCAGCAGAACTGCAAAGACTGGTGCCATGGAGCATTTGCTCCCTGGTTTCTGGGCAAATGTGGGATTTGCCACATGAACGTCACACCTTCACCACAGCAGCCTGGCTGCCGCCAGAGAGAAACCCTTCCCTCCTTCCCAGAGCAACATTTAGTCTCCAAACACCATTTAAAAGACATCAGCAACCATAAAAGGAACAAACATTTCAAAAATGGCTCTTGGGAAGGTACAGAGGCAGGATGGGTGGACATTCAAACCACTGGAGAAACTAGAGCAAGAAGCTTGGGTGGGTTGGATGAGAGACAGCAAGTGATAAATGTGCTCTGAGATCCTCCAGCTGACTGAGACCTACACAGCTCCTGGACACCTTGGGATAAAGACCTACACAGCTCTTGGGACACCATGGGATAAAGACCTACACAGCTCTTGGACATCATGGGATAAAGACCTACACAGCTCTTGGACATCATGGGATAAAGACCTACACAGCTCCTGGACACCATGGGATAAAGACCTACACAGCTCTTGGGACACCTTGGGATAAAGACCTACACAGCTCCTGGACACCATGGGATAAAGACCTACACAGCTCTTGGGACACCTTGGGATGAAGACCTACACAGCTCTTGGACATCATGGGATAAAGACCTACACAGCTCCTGGACACCATGGGATAAAGACCTACACAGCTCTTGGACACCATGGGATAAAGACCTACACAGCTCTTGGACACCATGGGATAAAGACCTACACAGCTCCTGGACACCATGGGATAAAGACCTACACAGCTCTTGGACATCATGGGATAAAGACCTACACAGCTCTTGGACACCATGGGATAAAGACCTACACAGCTCTTGGACACCTTGGGATAAAGACCTACACAGCTCTTGGACATCATGGGATAAAGACCTACGCAGCTCTTGGGACACCTTGGGATAAAGGTGAGGTTGCATGTGCCAGCTGACCCATATCACAGCCCAGCTCTCTCCAATGCCCTGGGGAAACCTGCCCTCCAGCCCCACTGTCCTCCCCAGCCCAGGGACACCTCCATGGAACCAGCAGAAGGAGTCTCAGCAGGTGCAGGATGGTGGGAAGTTGATTAAAAAGAAAGTAAAATAAATTCCCACTGAGCCAAAGCATCCAACATGAAGAGCGAGGGCAGGACCTGCGTGGCCAGGGAATGGTTGGGTTCTCTGCAACTTGATGGCAGCTCCTTCCCCGAGGAATAGTCCAGCTTTGTCCAGTCTGGTCTTTCTCTCTTAGAGACAGAAGTCACTGCTGGAGACGTGAGGGTGATCTGGCAGCGCTTCTGCCTGGGGATGTGGCTGGCAGGGGGGAACCAGGCTCCCCACCAGCACTGGGTGATCTCCAGAGAGTCCCAGGGGAGCGCCGGGGGAAACACGAGCACCTTCAGGCTAGGAGAAGAGAGAGACAACAGAGGGGGGAGGCATTGTGCAGCATTTGACTTCCCACTGCTGATCACCTGCTCCTGCCTTGCCACCCCACATGGTCCAGGGGCTTAGCAGTGACCCCATCCATGTCCCCACACCTTCCCCCAGCTCCTCTCTCACCAGTACTGACCCATCGCTTCATTGACACGAGGCTGAAGCACACAGAGGGCAAGTGCCTCCAACCTCCACAGCTGGCACTGACTTTCACCCACTGACCTGCTAACAGACCTCTGCAGAACCTGACCAGGTACCACAGCCCTGCAGCTCACTCATGAAACCTCTCTCTGTAAATCACAGCCATGTGGACTCCATCTGAAGCAAGCACCCAGGTCTTGCGCCCTTGCTGCACATCTCCTGGCAAGCCAAACACATGGCAGCCACACGAGGTGGTCACCAAGCTCTAGAGATGTGTCAGAGCTGTTCTTCACTGGTCCTACAAGCTCCTAAACCCCTAGGCAAGACCAGAGTCAAGCTCTTCAACAGAGCTAGAAGGTGCCTGGTGTGTTGAGTGGAGGAGATGGGGAATGGGAGGACCTGAGGAGCAGAGCATGGCCTTCAGGAAGAAGCAAAAGATGCTTTGACAGTATCTGATGGCTCCAGAGGTTAACACAGAGACCTCTGTGAGCCAGCAGGACACCATGCCAGTAGCAGATGTCTGGCACTGAGGAACAGGCTGCTCTGAGGACAGTAATTGCCAGGGCAGGGCTGGGTAAGCAGGGAGGAAGGACAGACCCACCCTGGACATCTCACCCTGGTGGGTGCCACAGGATGGGGAAGCATCACTGCAGAGATGGGCTCCTTCAGGATCTGGACCAGCTCTCCAATGCTGTGAGCTCACAGCCCTTACAGACACACAGGGCATCTGCATCAGGGAGAGGGAAAAGGGCCAGGCAGCTTCCACTGCCCCTGCCCTCCCCAGGCAGCCCTGGTTTGGGCTGTTGGCCCCAGTCCCAGGAGATTCACTTGTGAGGAGAGCCCCTAAGGGTGGCCAGTAGGACCAGGGAAGTTCTCTTCCCCCTGCACTGGGCACTGGTGAGGCCGCAGCTGGAGTGCTGGGTTCAGTGTTGGGCCCCTGAGTCCAAGAAGGACATGGAGGTGCTGGAGCGTGTCCAGAGAAGGGAACGGAGCTGGGGAAGGGTCTGGAGCACAAGTGTGCTGAGTTCCCTTGTGGCTGAGGGAACTGGGGGTGTTGAGCCTGGAGAAAAGGAGGCTGAGGGGAGACCTTGTGGCTCTGTGCAAGTCCCTTGGAGGAGGGTGGAGAGAGGTGGGGGTGGGTCTGTTCAACCAAGGAGCAAGGGACAGGACAAGAGGAAATGGGCTCCAGTTGTGGCCAGGGCAGTTGAGATGGGATGTGAGGAAGAATTTCTTTGCTGAAAGGGTTCTGAGGCATTGGAAGGGGTTGCCCAGGGCAGTGGTGGAGTCCCCATCCCTGGAGGGATTGAAGAGTGGTGTAGACACAGTGCTGAGGGACATGGGTTAGTCATAGGGGACTTGTCAGTGTTGGGTCAATGATTGGACTCGATGGTCTTTTCCAATCGAGGTCATTCTGGGATTCTGTGAAAGGACATGGTGACACTGAGATCCAACCCAGCCGACCTCGCCCTGTGGTGCTGGAGAGCCAACAGCAGCCAGATGGGCTCCCAGTACGGGTTGTGTACAGGCTCCCACAAGGGAAAGACTTTATGGTACAGATCCTCACCTCACACATGCTGTGTACCACCCATCACCACTCACCAGTGCATGGCTGGAATGACTCCCTGAGCAGAAACGGTAATTAAACAAACCATATGGAAATGAGACCCAGAGACAGCCACCTCCTCAAGGGAAGAACCCACCACTTTGGTCTTTTGCTCTTCAACCTGGTGCAAAGTAAAGCCCCTGAAGTCTTCCTCCCTGCGCTGAGACCCCCAGGAAACACCAGCATGGAACAAACTGAGCACGAGGGCAGAGCGAGGCCCTCACTTACCTTGTGCCTGCTCTCCTGGCTCAGCGTGGAGGTGAATGTCCCATAGGGATTCACAGGGGTCTCCCAGGGGCTCCCGCAGCGCTCGGCAGATGAGCTGGGAAAAGGACGCTGGGGCATGGAGGGAACAGGGCTCGGCTGCTTCTCAGGGATCAGCTGGTATGAGGAGGAGGAGGAGGAGGAGGAGGAGGGGAAACACCTGGAGTATGGAGCCATCTCTTCCTGGGAGCCCCTGCTGCCTGCAGTATCCACGCCACGTAACCCATCCAGGTTGAATTGTACCCTCGGCACGCCGGGCCCCGCTCCCACGCAGCCCTGCTGCTGGGAGATCAACTCTTGGCTGATGCCATAAAAACCAGTCTGAACTGGGGACCCCAGGAGTGGGGAAACATAGTCCTGCCACGGGCTGGGGCTGCTGCTGGGAAGGAGGTGAGGAGCAGAGTCAGGGCTGTGGCCACACAGCCTGTTCATCAGCAAGGGACGGTGTTTTGGCCGGCTGGGTGGTCCCACATGGCCCTGGCACTGGCTGGGCAGGGAGAAGGACCCATGAGCATCCTCTTGGGTGGGATGCACGGCCACGAAGTCACCCTCCAGCTGCTGAGCCCCAGGTGGCTCCCACGGGCAGGGGGTTCCTGGTGGTGAACCAGGTGCCTTGTCCCACGAGGTGGCCCATCGTGGCTGGAGGAAGCGTGGCAGACCCTCCTCCTCAGCTGGCCTCCACTGCAAACCATCACACGGCTCTTCCTCCTCCTCCTCCTCCTCATCTGGCACCGGTGGGGGCAGCTGCCCCGGTGTGGTGTGGAGGGGCTGTTCCCACAGCGGAGCAGGGGGCTGCCCCAGGGCAATGCTGGGCTGGGCCACGTGCTGGGGCAGGTACTGCGAGTCCTTGTCCTCCACCTGGGCCTGGTACGTAGCGGTGCCTCCACATGAGCTCGAGGATGGGCCTGGCAGGGGACAGACCTGTTGTCCTCCATCGTACTTGTTCACCAGCCTGGTGTGGATGTAGGAGAGAATCTCGTTGCTGGCGAGGCAGTCGTTCAAGGATGGGATGTGGTCAGGGTCCGTATGGACCTTCACCGTTTTCTCATCCAACAGCAGGAGCTCCAGGTCCTCAGCATTCAGCCCCAGGCCCTCCAGAACACTGAAGAGCTCGTTGTTGGAACAGCTCTCATCATTCTTAATTGAGAGTGAGTCCAAGATGGCCAAGAGAGGGTGGTCCTGCTGCAAATCCACAAGTTCCTCGTTGAGGCTGTCCCCCCTTGAAGAAACTGGAGCAGCACCCATACTCCAGGCATCTCCTCCTGCATCCAGCAAGGACACATCCTCGAGGTGGTCCATAAAACGGCTGCTGAAGGAGTGGCTGGGGTGGGGAGCTGGATGGGAGACGTACACTGCCTGGTCCTGTTGCATCACGGCGCCCAGCAGAGAACTGGGATTGATGTCATCCTTCTGGGAGCACCTTCTGTCGCTCTGGGAGGTCTTCTTGGACTTGCTGGCTTTCCCTTTGCTTGTACACTGCCTGGTCCTGTTGCATCATGGCGCCCAGCAGAGAACTGGGATCGATGTCATCCTTCTGGGAGCACCCTCTGTCGCTCTGGGAGGTCTTCTTGGACTTGCTGGCTTTCCCTTTGCTCTGGAAAGGGCTAGGGGAGCCCGGGAGAGGGTAAGTATTTTGGTATAAGAGTGCTTCTCCTGTCGCAAAGGTGAAGGGAAGATGCACGGACCGTTGCCGAAGGTGCTCTCCTCCTTCTTCATCTCTGCAAGGCAGGAAGAGGAGTTTGGGGCTTGTACATGCACCAACACACATCACAAAATGCTTCTGCAATGGAGAATTGTGATTCCTGCGAGCCAAAGTCCCTTTGCTACAGCCAGCATGTGTGGACTGAGCAGAACCACGCACCTATACGTTTCCATAGGCATTTATGCACAAATACACACAGACATACATATTTTCATAGATTTTTCATAATGAGGGTGGTGAAACCCTGGCCCAGGTTGCCCAGAGAGGTGGTAGAAGCCCCATCCCTGGAAACATTCAAGGTCAGGTTGGGATGGGGCTCTGAGCAACCTGGTCTGGTTGAAGACGTCCCTGCTCACTGCAAGGGGGGTCAGACCTTGAAAGGTCCCTTCCCACCCAAACCCTTCTGTGATTCTATGATAGACACCCACATAAAACCCCACATCTGCAGCATAACCACGGGGATATTGAAAATGCAAAGGGCAACAGAGCTTTTCCAGACAGAAATCACCTCTTTGCTCTGCTCATCTAACGCTGCAGCCACCCCTTAGGACAGGGATGTTGGGCTGTTGCCATACAGCAGTCACATCTGAGGTCCCTGCTGTTCACTGCACCCATGTCCCTACAGCTGAAGAGCAGCCACCAGTGTCCCCAGGCTAAGAATAGCCTGGTGCCCAGGACACCAGGGCAGGGATGTGAGGTGCAGGGCACTGCTCAGTGCTCTCCCTTACTTATGGGATGGCCTGAACAGCATCAGAGCATCCTGCGGCTGCTCCTTTCAAAGGCACAAGAAGCAACAACAAATCCAACATCATCCTGGGCATCCCAGCGCCCACACCGATGGAAAAAGCCAAGCTGTCCCCATCCCAGCCTGGGCTGACCCAGATGGCACTTACACGAGGGGTCTCTGGGTCACCACGATGTACTCGGGTTTGCCGTTCTTGTAGACCAGCCGGGCGTTGGCCTGCACCCACTTCCAGCGGTTCTCCTTCGTCAGCAGGCGGAAGACAGTCAGGCCACTCTCCCCCGTCCTCATCACTGCCAGGAGGAAGCAGCACGTGTACCGAGGGCTGTCAGGACATCACTGGAGACAGCACTGCCTCCAGCGACGCTGCAGTGTCCAGCTGGGATAAGCAGGTGGGGTCACAGCAGTGGCATGGCTGGCACACGCAGGGGACACCACCCCAGATAAATACCCATCACCACACCCCACCCCACGCTCCCTGCGGTGACAAGAGCATCACAGCGAGTCATAAAGCAAAGCATAGAAACAT